TAGTTTATTTGTTCCGTTTGTAGGTATGGAACATTTTGTAATTATTAGAAAGATTTGCAACACACTAGTCAAACATACCCATTAATATGTTAATGCAGTACTCATTAAAACAATTTTACTTTAGGTTCCTTTTTTATATAAAGCACTATTTATTTTGTGTATTTTAACACTTTTTGATTTTTTTAGGCTTAGCATACAGAGGTGTTAGAAAACAAACAAACAACATTTTCGATCTAAATTAGGGGCTATGCAACAAGAAGGATATCATTATTTTCTTCATTGCAGATCTACTTACACAGCTGAGAGCCTCTATCAAAGAAGGCCTGAAAGAGCTTAAAGACAACTTGCGCAAGTAGCTCCACAACCTTGGCACCAGAACTGACACACTTGAAAACTGCACTGATAAACTATGTGTGGCTAATAATGAGATTGTGAACAAAATCACTGTTATGGAGACGGAGAGGAAACTGCTACTGGGGAAGCTGATGGATTTGGAAGACCACTCTCTGCGCATTAGTCTCCAGATCAGGGGGATCCCTGAGACGATCATGCCCGTGGCTATTGCTCCACACCTAAAAGCATACTTTCAATTTCTCCTACCATCAGCATCTAAGGGCGACCTTCTCCTTGACAGAGCCCACAGAGTGCGGAAACCTCGGAATTTGGCTACAGACAACCCGAGAGACATTGTGGCCAGATTTCATTACTACCACATCAAAGAGGTTGTTGTGCAAGCCCACCGGCACCTGCCAGAACTGCCATTGAACATGGAGAACATATCCCTGTTTGCAGATCTCTCTGCCACCACCATGACCAAAAGGAGCGACTACATAAATACCACCAAAGTTCTGAGAAACAACCGAATCCCGTACCGTTGGGGTATTCCACCGAGGCTGCTGATTCGACGTGATGGCTCCTGGCACGTGATTGACATCCCAGAGGTAGGGATCTCACTTCCAAAAATGGAAGCTTCTCCAGGCATCAACGGAACCTCAACCAGGAGGTTCACCTCGTATGCTGAGGGCTGAATGGAACACGTCTACGAGGCCCAAATGCAAGCCCCAGTCTCCGATGGCCTGAGCCAATTTGGGACAATCTCACAGTTACAATCCCTGTCAGGCACCGAATGAATGTTGAACTGGCACTTCTCAGGACTGTCGGTAACACTTGGCACACGTAAGATACACCACAAGTCATAACCTCTTGGTCCCCCTACTATATCCCCTCATGCTAGGTGTATAGGTGGGATACTAGTATATCCCCTACTTGAGGTATTAGCCCCTCTTAACAAGCCAAGGCTGTATGTGCTTCACAGAACAAAACCTATAGAGAGCACCAGCAAATGCTGCTTTACTTTGCCACCCAAAATCATGCCCATCCTGCTATACCACTCTTAGGGATACAGCGGACCAGCATTCGGCACCGTGATGGTAGGGCCACAGGTTAATGTTAATATATTTTTATAAAAACAATACAAAAAAAATTATTAATACTGTGGCCGACCATGTCCCAGAGAGGGAAGCCCAAAAGGATAACTATCTAAGGCCCATATAGGTTCCTCGGGATGTATGGCAACCCTTATGGTGAGACTGTGATTTATCTGTTCCTTTCAGGTTATATTAAGGTATTATTGTCTCATATACATCCAAAGGTTGTTCTCCTTAGTAAAAATTGTTGTGTTTTGTAGGAAATTGAGACATGTTAGCCCATCCGCTCTGATTCCAAAAGTAAAATGTGGGCACCTGTTTGAAATGTTTAAGAGGCCTGAGCCGGAATATGAGATGTGGTTTGAAGACCTATTCCTCTCCTCCCTCGTCAATTACACGGCGCCAGGTAGAAGACCTGGACAATTGCAGCCGTAGGAGCAACATCAGAGTGCCCGGTGTACCGCAATCTGAAGGGGAAGAGGAGGTGGAAATGCTACTCACCTACCTGTTTCACGCCATGCTACACAAAGAGGCTCCAGCTGAGTTCAGATTGGAAACCACAACGTCCAGGGACATCATTTGCTGTCTCAGCTCATTCTGCCTGAAAGCAGCCATCATAATGATATTTGGATCGCCACCTAACAGCCAGGAGGCTGGAGGCATGGCAGAGAGAAACCCTGGCAAAGATGAGCAAGCAGCCCATTATCATAGCCACAAACAGGGATCACATGGATAGCTATGGTCCCTACATCCCTACAAGGGCGGCAACTAGGGTGGGGAATAGGGGACCCGGGTGGATATTCACCATACTCAATCCAGGACTCGTGGGACTTGCTCCACGTCAACCTCACTTTGTATATATGTCCTTGTGTATGGGGGGGGTCTGCCGGCTGGGCACCTGTCTTGCACCATTGATAATGTTGGTATATCCTCTGACAACACATCCTGGATTGCCAGGACAAAGAATCATACCATATTCCTTATGAGCCAGGAGATTCATAAGTCCACAAGCTGACAATAGTGAGTAAGAAAGGGATCCCGCCCCAGCACGTGTTGCAGTAGAAACAGGGAGGCGCATAGAACCTCAGATAATGGGATTGGAGGGGCCCATAACAGAACTCACCACGGGGGAAGGAGTGGTTAATAGTAATTAAGCCCTGACATCAAGGTGGGGACAGACACATGAAACACAACAAAGGGACAGGAGGGAGTATCGGGATGGTGCACACACGCTACTGGGAGGGAGAGGCAAGGGGATGAAAAAAGCAGAGGGGGTAAGGCGGTGGGAGATTAACAGGGGAAGGGGTGGGGGACATAAGGACGCACGTATTACGGTGCAAAACTGTAGATAGAACCTCTAGAAGGGGGAGGGCGGGATGGAGGGACTAGGGCAGGAGGACGAGGAGCAGAGGGCATAAGAGAGGAAGGGGGAAAAGGTAGGCAGATAAACAGGAAGGGTGGGTAAGGCCAAAACATTGAAAAAAAAGGAAGGAAAAAAGAAAAGAAAATAAAAAGGGGGGGGGGGGAATGTAAGACACCACCGGGCGACCACCATCCTACCAAATTACCCGATTTACATGGTCTTAAGCATCACCAGGGTCTTAACCTGTAACCGGTTGCCACAGAAACAGAAATCCTCATAGCATAAAGAGCGAGTCACACAGCTCATTCTTACCATCTCTGTTGTATATTAGTTCACTACCAAGCTGCACCTACTTCCAAGGGGGTATCCGAAGACCAAGATCCTCCCACTTAGAGGTCATATGCTATCCTGCCTCACAAGAGTAAGGCGGGACATCCTACCACAATGTGTGTGGACTTATTTGTTCTCACATCAGGGCTTATAAGGGAGCCACAAGGCGGACTGACACTAACTTTTATCTCAATATAAACTAACTGACTTTCAGGGTTGGAACCCAGTCACGTTCCTCAGTTACACTTGTGTATAGACTAGGGGTATTGGGGTGTTGAAAATCCAGCCTTCTGGACTACCATACCGGAAGAAGGGACAACGGCTTTTGCTACCACACGAGTTATCCCCACCTAGTGAGGGGAGAGAGGTGGGCACTGCTAGCCCTAATGGGGTACTACCCTATTACCCCAACACCTATCTCTTTCTTCTTCGCAGATCACACGTATTGCGGGACCTAAGTACAAAGCGCATTTCAATTGCTTACCTACAAAAAAAAACACTTTAGGGAGGGGGCAGCATCTCCACTGCAAAATAGACACTATCCAACTAATTATTTCAGCAAAATCCTTCTGCCAAATGGGCAGGAGTTACCATCATGGTGGAGGCCACCCTGAAATTCCAGGAAATCGATAGCCGCAGAGACCCAGAGGGCAGATATCTATTTGTCAAGGGAAGGGTGGCAGACAAGATGTACACATTGGCAGTTATTTATACCCCTAACCATGGCCAATCACAGTTCCTGCGAAGAACGCTGACTAAACTGAAACAATTCACAGCAGGCTTTCTGATACTAGGAGGATTCCTGAATGTCCCCCTGGATCCCATTCTGGACTCTTCATAGGGCCATAGTAGTATACCCCAGCAACAGATCAGAAACATACGGCTGGAGAAACTGCTGGAGAGCATGCCACCCAGCTGACAGGGACTATACCCACTACTCCTTCATACACAACCGCCACTCTCATATAGACTACATCTTCCTCCAACAGGAAAACCTCACCAGCCTTCTCAGGACGTCCATAGGAGCAACGACTTGGTCAGATCATGGACCTGTACAAATCGCCATAGAGTCCCCGTTGGCCAAACCAGCAAAGTGGACATGGCGACTTAATGATTCCCTATTACTAGACCCAGTTTTTAAGGAACAGGTGGGTAGGGGGGCTTAACCCACTACTTTGAGGAGAATGCTGTTGAGGACATGTCTCCGGTCACAATATAGGAAGCACACAAGAGCGTCATCAGAGGCTGCATGTTAGGCCTAGCAACAAAGAAAAAGAAGGAAGCCGCAAGACATATATTGGACCTGCACATACCTCCACTCTTGAGCTCCAGCATAAACAGTCAGGACTAGAATCCATCTACACAGAACTATTAGAAGACAGATGACAGATATTCTGCTGCGCCAACACTTCCAAGGCTTACAAAGATCCAAAGGATTCTTCTATGCGCATGCCAATGAAGGAGGTAAGTAAGTACATAGCCAGCATGCTCAAGGGCCCGAGACATTGTACACAGATCCATAAACTCAAACTATCCTCAGGGGGGATATCCCCTTTGCCACGGAAGGTCACAAAGGAATTTCAGGATTTCTATGCTAAGCTCTACCAAACCTCCGGAATCCGAACACCAGCGAATGACTAACGCACATCAGAAATGATCTAAATGAACATAAACCGAACATGATATTGTCTGAGGTGGCGGAGAAGTTGGACTCACCCATAGCTGAAGCAGAAATAGCGTAAGCAATCAAAAAAGCTAAAACTGGAAAGGCACCGGGTCCGGACAGTTTTACTGCAGTATACTATAAAACGTTCTCACACCTTCTGATACCTAAACTGACAAATGCACTAAACAAATTAACGGATGGAGGAGCTATCCACACAGAATCCTTGGCCGCCACTATCACAGTCCTCCTAAAACCCAGGAAGGACCCGACAACGTGTGGTAGCTACAGACCAATATCACTTCTAAATGTGGACATTAAACTGTTCACCAAGCTCCTCACATCCAGGGTGCAAACATACCTGTCTGACCTGATCCACCCAAACAAAACAGGCTTGTCTGCATATGCTGCCACCTTGTGTTCTGTGATCCTGTCACAGAGTCCCCTCACGTCCCTACTACTGCGATTCATGGAAGAGAAGTGAGAGACAGTACCCTATATCCACCTATTCGCCTTGCAGCATCTGGCCCGCAGGAACTCTAAACGCCTACTCCTCTTGTCGACAGATGCTGAAAAGGCGTTCGATAGTGTCAACTGGATATTCATGTTCGCAACCTTGGAGACTATGGGATTTGGGAATAAACTGAGGGCATGGATTGGTTCCCTATACAACAACCCCACCGCGAGGGTTCGGATGAATGGGGCACTTACAGACAGCTTCAAGATCTTCAATGGCACATGACAGGGCTGTCCTCTCTCACCTCTGCTCTTCGCCATATCGCTTGAATCATTCCTCATCATGAATCGCAGTAGTAGGGATGTGAGGGGACTCCGTGACAGGATCACAGAACACAATGTGGCAGCATATGCAGACAACCTGCTCTTCTTTATCACTAACCCGCAGATTTCCTTGCCATGCCTAATGAGGGAGTTTAAAACCTATGGTAAACTCTCAGACCTTAAACTCAACTTCTCAAAATGCGGAATTCTCAATATCAATATGCCCACGGATTAATACAATATTCTGAAACCCAACTTCCCGTTCCACTGGTGCATGGACAAGATGAAATACCTGGGTAACGAAGGAACCGACTGACCTTTACAGAGCCAACTTTCTGCTCATCTTAAGGAAAGTGTTTGGACTACACCTCCCATGATCCTTTGTCAGCATTATGGGTGTAAGAGCATTATGGGGGATGTAGTCCTTAACATCTGGAGTGCCGAAGGTTGCCTACTCCTGCACTATGTTATACCTAAAACACAGGGTATGCCATGGAGAACAAATGTAATGTCTACAAGATGCTTATGGCAATGAGGGGTAGTAATATGAACGGAAGCGGTATGGGGGGTAGTAATATGAACGGAAGGGGTATGGGGGGTAGTAATATGAACGGAAGGGGTGTGGGGGTTAGTAATATGAATGGAAGGGGTATGGGGGTAGTATATGAACGGTAAGGGCATGGGGGTAGTAATATGGACAGAAGGGTATGGGTAGTAATATGAACGGAACTGGTGTCGGAGGGTAGTAATACGGAAGGATAGGTAGTAATATGAATGGAACAGGTATAGGGGGGGTAGTAATATGAATGGAAGGGGTATGGGGGTAGTAATATGAACGTAACAGGTATGGGGGTAGTATGAACGGAAGGAGGCGGGGGTTAGTAATATGAATGGAAGGGGCATGGGGGGTAGTAATATGAAAGGAAGGGGTATAGGGGGGTAGTAATATGAATGGAAGCGGTATAGGGGGGTAGTAATATGAACGGAAGGGGTATAGGTTAGTAATATGAATGGAATGGGGGGTAGTAATATGAACGGAAGCGGTGTGGGGGGTAGTAATATGAACGGAAAGGGTATGGGGGGTAGTAATATGAACGGAAGGGGTATGGGGGTTAGTAATATGAACGGAAGGGGTATGTGGGGTAGTAATATGAACGGTAGGGGTATGGGGGTAGTAATATGGACGGAAGGGATATGGGGGGGTAGTAATATGAACGGAACTGGTATCGGAGGGGTAGCAATATGAACGGAAGGGATAGGGTAGTAATATGAATGGAAGGGGTAGGGGGGGTAGTAAGTGTCCCTAAATGGCAGTTAGGAAATGTGGTCACCCTAAGTCAGGGCAGCCATTAACACGGGGCAAAAGGGGCAGCTGCCCGGGCCCAGTTGCTCCTGGGGGGCCCAAGGCAGCTGCCTCTTGAGCCTCGCTGCCCACAATAATATGCTAAAAATGTTCCCTCTCAAATCCTGATCTGATTCAATCCTCCACTATTCGGCATCGCTGCATATTAAAAGACTTTGTTTGCTCCTCCTCCCGACCTCCCTTGCCCTCTGCGAACACTCCATGATGTCACGTGGAGTCACGGCAACGCTAGGGTGAGCCCCGGTCTCCTACAACTGCAGATTAGCGCCTCACGCTTTCAGCCCTGAACCCTGAGCCCAGAGCACTGCTGGTGTCTTCAGTACTGTAAGGTACAAGAAGATATATTACTTGTTTTATGGGGGTTAGGAGGCTAGGTGGTTGGAGGGGAAACAATTAGGGACGGGTAGATAGAGGGGTTAACCAGGGATATCATACTGATCACATGGAATGCTCACATCTAGACAAGGATATCATGCTGAGCATATGGAATGCTCACATCTGGCCAGGGATATCATACTGAGCACATGGAATGCTCACATCTAGCCAGGGATGCCATACTGAGGACATGGAATGCTCACATCTAGCCAGGGATGCCATACTGAGCACATGGAATGCTCACATCTGGCCAGGGATGCCATACTGAGCACATGGAATGCTCACATCTAACCAGGTATGGAATGCTCACATCTAACCAGGGCAGTGGCGTATTAAGGGGGGGGCGGTCCGCCCCGGGTGCCACCAGGGTGGGGGGTGCCATGGCCAGCCCCCCCCATGCTGCAGCCGCCCGAGCGCTCTGTAAAGAGCCTCAGGCGGCTGCAGCATTGCCCGGGCGGTGCGTCCATGAGGGCGGACCGCACCGCCCGGGCGCAGCCTGAGAAAGGGGGCTGACACTCCTGTCAGCTCCCTCACTGCAGCATGGTCCGCGGGTACAGGGAGCAGCTGTCTCCTGTACCCGGCCGGACTAACAGGAAGTGCACACTGAGTGTTCACTTCCTGTTAGTCCGGCCGGTACAGGAAACAAAAGCTCCCTGTACCCGCGGACTATACTGGGCTCGGCCACGCTACAA